TCCCAGGACCCGGCACGCCGATGAGCTCGTTCGGGATCGCCTCCGCGAGGGTCATGTACGGCTGCCAAGCCTCGGGCAGCTCGTAGCAGTAGAAAGCGGAGGCTTGGTCATCTGACGACCAAAGCAGCATGTGGCCCTCTGGGAGCGGGATGGCGACCCACGAGGGCGACGCGCTAAGGGTCCCGATGTCGTCCCTCATGATGCGCTGGTAGCTGTTGGCCGGGACCATGTTGATGATCAGGCGCTGGACGCACGCCTGGCCAGGTGACGGCGTGCCACCCTTGGCGACACCAAACGCCCCGGCGAGCACCTTGCGGTTCCCGACCTTGAAGATGCGGTCGTCGGCGATCGGCGCAGCCAGCCCCAGCTCGACGAGCTTGGTCCCGATGCTGTACCACTCCTGCTTGGACGTGACCTGGATCGCCGCCCGCGGGACCTCTGCAGGCCACTCATCTCGAGGGAGCAAGGCCAGCGTGGGGTCGGCAAGCCAGGCGCCCACCTGAGCGTCCGCGATGTCGACCGCCTTGACAGAGGCGGCGACGCCCCGCGCGGGGAGGCCTGGCATGATGCCCGCAAGCGAGAGTGGCAGGGCGCGGGACGTCTCCTCGCCCCCGTAGGAGACGGTCCTCGACGCGATGACCTGGTCCCAGTCCGGGAGCTCGAAAGATGTGGCGGCATCCTGAACGAAATACTCACAGGCCTCCTGCACAATGCCGAGCGCACTGATCTGACTTGCCGTGGGCCGCCTCGCGGCGACGGTTGGACAACGCATGTGCCCCGTGTACTGGTAGTTCAGGCTGAAGACCACGAGCTGGGCCCACCCCTGCGCCGTGGTGGCGTCCACCTCGCAGGTCTCCGGCAGCTGCTGGTGCAGGTACCAGGCGGCACGGCACCTCTCGAAGAGCGGGGCGTCGGGCAGCGGTAACGGCAACACCTCGCGCAGCCGCGCGAAGCTGGCCGTGGGGTCTGGCGAAGTGCACATCTTACGAACGTACCGCCCGATCGCCCCTGGCGAACCGTGCACCGCCTCGTGGACCGCGAGGGCGAGCCTGAACTTGGAGCTGACGCCCGTGCCCACCTCGGCTAGCATCTGGCGCCACCGCCGAGCCTGCGAGCTGCCGCGTAGCTGCCGCTCAGGCGGGCGGAGGGCAGGCAGGGGCGTGCTCGGGGCCGCGGCCTTAGCCGCGTCGGCCCTCACGCCCGAACCCAGGCCGTCCTGCGAGCAGCGCTCGTGCCGTGGCTCTTCCCCGTCTTGCCTTTGCCGCGGCTCTTGGCAGCCAGCGGTCTCCCGATGCGCGCCTTCCATGCTGCCTGGGTCTCGCCCTCGCGCCTCGGGTGGGCCGCCTTGTGCTGCGCGAAGCTCCGGCCTGCTGCCGCGTCCGCTGGTGGCACGCGGGCGGCGGCTGCTGCGTCGAGGTCCCCCTCGGAGTCGCTCAGGAGCTGGACCGACCGCGTGGGACTGCGGCTGGTCCTCCGCGCTGCTGGCTGCTTCCCCCCGGCGGGGGGAACTGCGGGACCGTCGCCTGGAACTCGTCCGGCAAGGATCCTCATCGCCTCGGGCGATCCCGAGACTGGCGTCCCGGGAGCAGGGAGCGGGGGGCGCGCCTCCGCGCGCCCATGGCCTGCAGGTGCCGTCCCCCCCTGCAGCGGAGACGGCTCCCGGCCAGACCCCTAGCCCGGCCTGCGGTCTGCAAGTCGCTGGCGGAGTTCGGCGACCTTCAGCTCCCGGGCCTCGACCTTCTCGGCAGCGTTCTCCTCGTCCAGAGAGGCGCCTGATGGAAGCTGTTCCTGCGCGACAAGCGTGAGCCACCGTGCCGACCGCCAGTTCCCGTCGCGGATGGCCATCGTCCGCGCCTTGAACTCCTGCATGAGCAGATCCGCAGTCTCGACGACCTCTCCGCGCAGGATGCCGTCGAGCGCCAGCCCCAGCGTGCGGAGGACCCGCACCTCGTCCGTCCCCAGCGTCCGCGGCGGGTGAGCAACGAAGAACACCGTGTTCAAGAACTGCGTGACACACGGGGCCAGAGGGTCGGCCTCGCCTGCGGACAACTGCTGGGTGAACTGGCTGCGCAGGTGGCCGAGCCCGTTCTCGAGGAGAGCGCCGGGCCGCTGCCGAGCGATCCTGCGGAACAAGTCCCGCTTGATGCCCACGCCCTGGTAGCGGTCGCGGCCCCCAAGGCGCTCCGTGTCGCTCTCCGCGCCGTCCTCCGCGTCGTCGTCGTCGCGGCCCAGGAGCGCCGCGGTCAAGGCTGATGCCAGCCTGGACCTCGACCCAGCGGCGCCTGGGCGCGCAGGGGCAGCAGCGGCAGCTCGGCCGGCCACCACCTGCGCCAGGCGCTCGCCTACCGCACCTGCTGGGCGCGCAGCGTTCTTGGGCGTGCCCTGCCTCGGCACACCACGAGCTGCCCTGCCCCCGAGCCGCGCCAGCCGCGCCTCGAGCTCTGGGTCCTCGGCAGTCTCCTCGAGCCCTGCAATCTCCTGGTCGAGAGGGCTCGCCTCTCCTGGTCCGCCTGGGGTCGGGGTGCCCTCCACCTCGTGGGCCCGCTTGCGCGGCGGCCCTCGAGGCTCCTCCTCGTCCTCGTTGCCCCCATCCCCGAGCGGCCAGCCGCCGAGCTCTCCAGGCAATGGCTCGGCCGCGGGCGCATCGGTCATCACAAGCGCTCCAGGATCCGCGGCCGGGCAGATGAGCTTCGCCTGCTCGCGGGCCACGTCGCGGGGGTCCACCACCTGCCACACGTCCAAGTGCTCGACCACTGCGCCCACAGGAGCGACCGCCCCGCACTCGTCGGCGCTGCACTTGCAGAGGCGGAAGACCGTGGCCAGGGACCGCGCGCCCCGCTGCCCGCAGGAGGCTGCATACCACGAGTAGTACGGGTCGCTGGCGCCCACATGCCGGCCCTTGAAGTACCGGCCGAAGGCGTCTGCCTGGTAGGCGACCTCCACCTCGAGCATCTCGACGCCCTGCGGCGCCCCGTAGTCGTCCTTGACCCGCGCCAGGACCCGAGCTCCAGCCGCCAGCGGCAGCCCCGGCACCAGCTCGCCGTTCAGCGCTGCGTCGAGCCAGGCCCCCCGCGGGAAGGGCCACCCGACCGCTGCCGGGGCTGCCCGCTCCATCGGGTTCCTCGCCAGCAGCTCCGCGGGAGAGGGGCGACCCGCGCCCGGGATCCTCGTTTCCCGGCCAGGTCTTCGCTCCCCTCAACCCACTAAGGCTGCCAGCGAGGCTGATCAGAATCAGTCGGCCGAGCGTGGCCCTCCAAGCGGCCGCGCTCGGCGCGGCAACCTTCAGTAGACAGAGTGGCTCGGCAGCGGCCACAGACGGGCGGGACCGCCCGGTGACTCCGCTGCCTGTCTCCAGCCAACACAGCTACGGAAGATGGATGAAACTCAACCGTTCCCCATCAACGGCGTCGCGCACGCTCAGGTGGACTCCGCATAGGCTTCCTTGGAAGGTTACTATATATATATATACATATACATACATATACGTAGAGATGCTCGCCCATATATATATATATATATATATATAGACCTGCTCGTATGCATATCTGTGTGTGTGTATGTATGTATGTATGTATGTATGTATGTATGTATGTATGTATGTATGTATGTATGTATCTATGCATGCATGCAAGTATGTACGTACCCATGTTTTGTATGCATGCATGCATGCATTCAGGCAGGCAGGCAGGTAGGTAGGTTGGTAGGCAGGTAAGTAGGTAGGTATTCTCATACACACCTCTCCGAAGGAGTAGAGCTCAGAGGAGATTAATGCATACGCGCCGCGTCGTTCGCGATTTTTCTGGCCGTTTCGCTCGGGACATCCTCGAAATTCTGAAAATCGGTGACACCCCTCACACAGATCGTGACGTCAGAGTTCAAAAACACATGGGCATGTCAACATTTTAACATAACACCTTCAAAAACACATGGTATTTTCAATTATTTTGACCCCGATTCTCAGAGAATGGCGGTTTCGCTTGAGACTTATCTCAAACTCGAGCCCCGACGTACCTTCTGGTACCCGAGACCCCGCCTCGGAGCCACCTGGGGGCCTCCTGGAACCTCCTGGGGCCTCCTGGGGCTTTCTGTACCTTCTGGTACTCCAAACCCTGCCTCGGAGCCTCCTGGTGGTCTCCTGGAACCTCCTGCGGCCTCCTGGTGCCTCCTGCAGCCTCCTGGAGCCTCTTGGGGCCTCCTGGAGCCTCCTGGAGTCTCCTGGGGCCACCTGAGGCCGCCTGGGGCCTCCTGGGGCCTCCTGGGACCTCAGAACTACATGCACACATACAGAGACACACATCACACCCAACGCATCACACGCTAGACAAACATAACACACACAACACCTACAACGCACAGAAAACACGCACAACACAGAACACACATCACACACACACACACACACATACAACACTCAAAATCCTGGGGCCTCCTGGAGCCTCTTCAGGTGTCCGAGTCGGGCCTCCCGAGGCTTCCTGGGGGGCCCTGGTACACACATCGCAAGGTGTGGCAACCCAAGTTTCGCCTGCGACATCCTCGCAACTCTGGGTTCCAAGATGCTCTGAACTCAGGTGTTCAAGCCACTTTCGCCTGAGACATCCTCGCAACTCTGAGTTCCGAGATGCCCTGAGCTGAGGTGGCCAGGCCACTTTCGCCTGAGACATCCTCGCAACGCTGACCTCGGAGAGGCATTGCCCTCGTCGATCCTCCTGCTCGATCCTCCATCCTTTGGGGGGGGCTCTTATTCGATCTTAGATTATTCTGCGTTCACCTCCTCCCTCTTCCCCTTCTCTTAGGCACGCCCTGGCGGTGCCGCCCCAGCTTCCCCTTCTCCATCTCCGATCCCGCCGTCATGGTGTCTTCCTGCTTGAAACGCCCTTCCAGTTTTTTTGGTATGAGCCTGGGCACACACGTGCCACTTGTATACCTATACATGTATGAATATATCCTCCTTATTCCCCTCCTCCTCTGCTTGCCAAGGAGGGGGGGCCCGGCAGGGAGGCCTCGGCCTCTGACTCCACGATGTCGGCGGC